TCCAGACGCACTTCAGTACAGCCATTACTGTTATCGGGTGTTCCAGAACGAATTTGCTCGACACGTAATTAAAATCGTTCCTCGGTTCGATCCCATTTTCTCTTCTTGTAGTTTTAATCAGTTGTGGGTAAAATAACCTCGCATCACTTCAGCCCTGAAGACAGAGACGTTGTGTCTCTCCGAAACGTTGACATCTGCCTTCCAGATTGTGGTGAGTTCTCAGCCTGTTGATGCTCTTTTATAAAATAGGGTAAAGCGGACGGGACAGTCGGGGGCGGGGGGGCGCCACATCGGATTTCGTCACAGTCAGTCCAGCGGTTATATAATTGTGAAATAATGTCGCGTCATAAACATCACTTTTCATTACGGAACACAAAAAAATCTACAGCACTGAATGCGCTGGTCGTACAGCTCGCCCTTTACCCCTCCAGTGTCAAATTTTATGAAAATCCGTTTAGCGATTCCCGTCTTCTTGTTACGGGGGCTGACGAGAGCTGTGGCGTTTTGCTACAAGTTTTAGTCGTAAAGGCGTTGATACACGCGTGGGTGCGTGCATACCTGCGTACGTCACGTGATCACGCGTATGTACCAGCTCGTAGAAAAATTGAATTTGCTCACGAACTTGAGCGTACAACCCCTCCAGTGCCAAATTTACGCGAAATATGTCACGTGGTTTCAGCGTCTCTCACTAACGCCTTTTATGCAGGAAGGCATGGCAGCCTTCTACTACATCGACATCGAGTTGCCGACGCAGAACAGATCAGTGCTTATACCACACATGGTGGGACACAAGAGTGGGAACAACAATTTTAGCAGAGGAAATCACTTTGCCGACCTAGGCGTAGATGGGAGTATAATATTAAATATGATTTTTTAAAGAAATGCTTTGTAAGGGCGTGGGCTCCGGTGACTGGTTCTTGTGAACCTTTCGGTTGTACAAAGGGCGGAGCATGTCGGTTAGGACTCGTCGTCTCCTGGTTCTTTGTGCTGTGTGGCTTTGAAGCCGTGTAATCCGCTCCCTCGAAGCAAGGGCTTCCTCAGATTAACCTAAGAGGACGTGTATCATATGACGGCGTCTCGTGGCTCCACTGATGCTGGGCCATCCCATAGCTGACGTGTTTATGTCCTGCGACTCATGGATGAAATATACAGTGTCATTACACTAATACACCGGCGCTAGCACTAACGAACTTGTCTGGTCTGCATTTCTGTCGAATTTCGAAAATTTGAGGCTCCTAATGCCCACGTCCTATTCCCTGATATCCATCACAACGACGCCCGGATTTGCCAAGTTGTCTCTTCCGTTCAGCCTTCGAACCAACTTTTTCTGAGCGTTTGTCATCTTCCCATGCGCGCTACATGCCTCGCCCTTCTCATCCTCCTCATCACCGTGATGATATTTGGTGAAAAGTTAAATTATCTCGCTCCTCGTGCAGTTTACTCCATCCCCCCTTGTTTCTGAGGTTTCCGGCTCGAAGTCTGGCCGGGTTATCAGATATCTCAAATGATTGTTCGCGGTGTTTTCCTCAGTCTCTTCTCGGTAATGATGGGGCACCTTGCAAAAGGTCGCGACAGAATCCTTCAAAATCCTTACTAATGGTAATTACGTATCTCGTTCGACGCAGAGCACTCTGCAGTTGAAACAGCTCCTTTTAATAAGCAACCAAAATGTGGATTTCAGTCATTTGATGTGGTTTGGGAAAGTGGACGAACGTACTCCGTCCTCATGCAACAACGGATGGGTGTCGTAAGCGTATGTACACGTGTGATTGAACTCTGGACCCCTCGAATTCGAAGCAACGATGACAACAGCCTGGCTCTCTCACGCGGAATTTTCAAGTATGGTATGCAACCAGAAGCGTTGTTCCTAGTTCCGAGCGAGGATAACCAGTTTTTCCTGGTAATAGTTGGAGGTATCTGTCGCGTAAGTGAGAACGTTTGAACAGGTGTTCGTTGTAACCAGCAGAGCACGTATTTACCAAACAAGAGGACACAATGCCGGTTTGTTATTGTGTTTGCGGTTGGGTCTTTGTCTCTTTTCGTGTAAAGAAGAGATTTCCCGTCATGCAATTCTCTTCAGTAACTGAGGTGTAGTAGAACCTCAGTTACGTGTAACCCCGGTTGCATTTCCCCTTTGCTGCTTCGCCTCGTGTTACTGCGTTGAAGTTGTTGAATTTATTTTGTTTACTTATATATTTATTATTTACTTATGGTTTATCTAACAACAAAGAGTGTCCCGTGTCGTTATCTGCGCGGGATACTGAAAATATGCGGTAGGCCTTTGGAGGTCCACTTTTCATCTTAGGAAATGTTGATAAAATAATTATGAAGTGGATCTGTTGCCAGGAACAGATCGCATAACTTCCTACGTTTCAAATCATGGATTTACCCCGCCGGACATTGCGAATATCGCGTAGTAGGCGTATTTTTTTTAAATTACTCTTTGCTTTGAGACAGACTACGAACTCCCGGAACACCCGGTAGGCCCACAGGCCTGTACACTGTAACTTTTCTGCTCCGCTGTATAAACTGTCCGCCACGGCGCCCAGCTCGAGGAATAATGAATCGGCAGGGACTAGTACGGGAGTGGTTGTGGTCTGGCGTAAGTCACTGTCGTCGTAATGTTCTCCAGGGGGTGAGGAAAAGCACGACACATCTCGGTTAGCGGTTCTCAAGGCCGACAAAACTGCTTAGTGTAACATTTGCTCCGAGGACAGAGGAAATTAGGAGAGAGTGGACTCCTTGATGGTGAGGCACGCACATGCCATTGAGGGCGGAAAACCTGAAGGGGGAATACTATTTGGAAGACCTAGGCGTAGATGGGGGCATGATAATAAAATTAGTTCTCGAGAAATAGTTCTTGCCGCGGACTGATTCATCTGCCAGAGGACGTGGTTAAATGGCGGTTCTTTTGAACACAGTAACATTCTCGAGAAGTAGTTCTTGCCGCCGACTGATTCATTTGCCAGAGGACGTCGTCAAATGGCGGTTCTTTTGAACACAGTAACGGACTCGTTAAGGAATTCACTAGGTGTCTGATGGACTGTGCTTCGTGGGACGACGAGTGCTCCTGGGTTCATGTCTCACCCAGACCAGTATCTTGGGGGGGGCATCACAACGCATTTAATCGTTATTTAAGTTCAATTGGAGCACTCGAAGGCCTTACATCGTATTCATTTCGACAGCGGACCTCGTCTAATTATCTCCCGAACCTAATTCCGCAAGAAGTTTTTCCGGCATCTTGTTATTCGTGCCCCGGAAGTTGGCTACGTTCATTGACTGCATTGAATTATAAAATAATCTACATTAAATCTAACACACATTAATTGCTTCTGAGTGGCTCACTTGTCACGTTATGTTGTTGTGGTCAGTTGGCAAGGTCGCTGTCGGAATTCGTGCCGGGTCTGCGGTCGGTCGTTCGGTGTCGCAGTAATTGATGGAATGGCGCAGCCACTGCCCACCCGCGTTTAATGGCCCCCTGAACCGACACACGACGTTCTTGCAAAAAAGAAGTCGGAATCCAATATTGTGTCCCGCGCTTGTTAAAGTATTTGCAATAAATGTTGCTGATTGGGTTTGTGCTCGAGAATTGTCGTCGGATAATCTGATGGCAGGGATAATTAATTTTCGGATTTCTCTTCAAGCTTGCTTGTAAGTGCTCGGTGGCTGCATTATGTCGAAGCGTGTGTCGCTTTATTGAATTTTCGCTCGCATGAACTCGAACTGGTATTCGTTTGTTCTAAACCGTTCGCATTACTCATTTCGACTGTTTCCAATGAAATGGGTGTTACTATTGCGTCGTAAGACATGTCAGGAAATTGCGATAGACTGGTGGATTTTAATAGTGACATTGGAGCAGTGTTAATTTGTTCCAAGTGTTAAATCACATCAACTTCGGTTTGAAAACTTGATGTTCCTAAATCGCTTTCTGAGCGATTTCATAAACTGGTTACTTCCAGTAGCCACTTTATTTGTCTTGTTTCCGAAACTATTGTAAACCGGGCTGAATCCCGACCGGGGAACGTAAACTGTTTATTCTTTTGTGTGTTCTTTCAGAAATTTTGACGGAATTCGAGGAGTTGTTTTAAAATATGTCGCTACCACAACTTTCTTCCTAATCTTTTTTTCCCATTGGACGTTGCATTACGTCAGCGGTTGCTTAATTAAACGTCGTGCGACGTACAAAAAGTGTCCCTGACTTTTTTCTACAAAATGCGGTCAGTGTAATGCATTCTAGACACGAGAAGAATGTGTTTCAGAGGCGATGTAAGCGTTGGTCGTTCGTGAATTACGCTCACATGTACCTACCAGCTCCGCTTATGCCACCGAGCCGTATCTTAAAACTCGTTAACTTTGGTACGTCTGTCTCTGTTTGATTTCTGAGGTTGGTAGTCCCACTTTTTATTTTTTAATTGCAACCCCTGGCGTATCTTCGGTTGAGTGAAGTAACAGATTAAGCGTCAAGGTCAGACCAAGTTTGTTTTGTATTTTGACATTAATTTTGATTTTGTTGTCGTGTCAGGAGAAATGATTAATTAAAAATCTCTCTCGTAAGTGTCCGAGTCATTGTGTTTAGCGTTGGCCGTCATCTCCAGGTTCAGGGAAGTTCTGTACGCCACTTTATTCTCATTCAGCACGGACTTTATCAATACGAGTTGTTTCCTGTCTTTTGGAATATCGACTGTGGGAGTTGTGTATAGAATTTGAGGAATTCCTTAACTGGCGCGCGGGGAATTTTTTTTTTTTTCAAAGTGAAGAAACCACTTCCCTGAAGCCGGAAATTGAGCCAGAGTTTTTGAATGCGAATTTAACAATGTTGCGTTCGACGTAATCGCGCTGTAATGTGTGTGAAATATTTCTCTCGAGTAAACCGAGATCGTAGGTTCGATTCTGTTTTGTCTGGAGCCATCCTCCTTTCTCTTTTCGGGTCAGTGTGCTGCCGGAATATCAAGAGGGGATGGCTTCTTTGTCTGTCGGGAAATGCCTTGGAAGTAACTTACCTAGGAAGCCCGGTATCGCACCTAGTGGCATGACGAAGAGGCTTACTAGAAGGTCCGCTATGGCGAGGGAGAGCAGAAAGTAATTGGTGACATTCTGCAGCCGGCGATCGAGGCAGACGGCGAGACACACGAGTATGTTCCCCACTCCCCCAGCCACTATGAAAACCAACACAAACAGGAAGCTCCAGTCGTGGTGGTGCGTTTCCCAGTCCGATACCTCCCGCGCATCACCTGGCCCCGCGTCCACGTTCATCAAGACACTTTGCAGCGAACACTTTACGTATTCCCCCACGCCTTCCCCCCACACAGAAAACTCCTCTTCCGGGCTTGAATCGTTGCCCCTGATCGTCACATTTACACTTTTGGGACCGCCGCAGTCCATGAACATATCCAAGAAGCCACAGGAAGTGGATTTGAAGACGGTGGGGATTCTGGCCCACACGACGTCGTACTCGCCGACTAGCGACGGCAGGAGGTGCAGTGTCAGGTTGAGCATGGCGGCCGTGGAGTTTCCGGCACAGTGGTCGCATTGCGAGAAGCTGGCGCCGCACAAGAAGTCCTCGTACCTCGCGGTTTCGTGGGTCGAGTTCCACAGCTCGCAGTCCAGCAGCACGGCCTTCGCGCTGCTCCCTCTGCACGGTGAGACGACGTGACCAGGGGCAATCAGCTGACACAGCAGCTCGCTCAGCCAGCCGCTGTTCGTCTCCATCTCTCAGCACCAGAACACAACTCCTACTTCCACACTCTCTGAACAGAAATGTCTTCAGAAGCCGTCGAGCTCTCGGTAGTTGTATTTAGATGCATTCGCCGGGTTGTATTGCGACTCGGAAGGCGCAGCGCTCCGGACAACCGATTTCATTTACCTTTCCTTTGACTAATGCTATCGCATGGAGTCTACTGCCAAGATGAATTGTAATCTAATTTACGTTTTAATGAGCTCGGTTGTTCATTAGCGTCTCCCGCCATCCTATGGGACAGAGACAGTTACGCAAAACCAACTTCCTTCCCCATCGGGTATCATTAATTAATTTTCTTTTCGAAACTCACGAAGGCACGCGGCCCTTCTCCGTGCCTGTGTTTTTTTTTCGTGCCGTAGTAATTACACGTTTCGCCCATTCACTAATTGCACTCAGTGACCCATCTCAGAATTAGAAGATTCGCACGGACAGAATTGATCCCTCCTTGTGTTTTGCAATTATGTTTGAAGTGTTGTGACCCACCCCCTGCAGACGGGCATTAAGCGAAGATATACGAGCCGCGTCCTTAATGAATACGCATCTTCAAACGCTGGTCCCGCACATTAAATTACGCTGACAAATGCCTTCGTTTGACTGCTGTGTGGTAACGCTTACTATCACAGACTTTCAATGCAGGAAAGCGAAATGTAATGGAAACATGGTAACGTAGGTCGCCGATGCCCGTTCTGCTCGCGAAATGAATTGCCCGTCGCCGCACTGCGTACGGCGTACCGCGGGCGACTGTTTCACTCCTGCTACACGAAGACACTGCAAGTTGCGACCGCTCTGATGTGCCCGATCCATGACGTCACCCGTCCTGCGCACTCCTACTGCTTCAGTTCACAGATAAGAAAATCGCTTTGCACAAATAAAGTCGAATTCATTTCCTCATATCGGTCTGGTACACGTAACCATGGCTTTTAGGCAGATTTTGCAGTTTGCATGTGACATCTTCTCAGCCCGAACTTTGAAGATGCACAACGCGGTATTTCTACGAAGAAGTAGACAATTGTTTTTTTTTAATGGGTGCATGTCGTAAAATGTCGGCCTCACTGCGCCAATTTTTTTTTTTTTTAAAATTAACAGTAAATATTTTTCGTCTCTCCGCTCGTTGTGTGTCTGTGTGTACCTGCTTTAAACAGTAAAGTGGGGAAGAACGCATTTTGAAAATATGGCCAGCCCATTGGAGCACCCTTTCGGTCTGCATGCGGGGGGCTGAACAAGGGTTCGGGGTTCTACATGCGTCCAGGTGGTCCCATGTGACACCTCGCGACTGACGTAGTGCCTTCGGCATGTGTATTTTTTTCATATTCCCCATTGATCTGTAGGAGCGTCTCTTTTCGCTTATTTAGAGTAAGAATATGGGAGTCTGGTAGCGCTTTGTCGATGTTTCAAGGGCCTTTCTTCTGCCTCCATCATCAGGGTGATGGTGAAGACAGTAATTACCTCTGAAACGTCGGCGAACTTCTATCACACTACACGGCGCAGCGTCCCAAAAGACAGCCAACTTCTTACTCGTGGTGTTCAGTATTTTGGGGCACCTGTCAGTACCTTTACCATTGTTTGTCCCCGTGCCATCAGTTCCTGACAGCTGTTAGTTCTTTAACGGCGCACTCCACGCTCTCTAATGCAGATGAAGTGAAGTTGTCGACAAAAGCTCCCGATGCAGTTTTTCGTCTGTGCCTCAGCGCGTTCTGCTGTGAAATAAGATCGCTTGTTCTATGTTGTTGAGTGTCTGTTGAGGTCAGAGTTCAGCTGTGGCCGACCGCGTCTCGCTCCAAGGAACTGGCGGCTGAACTAACTTACAGGTTACGTTGATGCTTTCTTCGGCGTTGAATTGAGTGATTTGATGGCTGGCGTGTACGAGGCATTCGGCTGATGGAAGAAGACGAATAAGAAGAATTGGGCAGTCGTCGCGATTTCGGGCGCAGAATTCGACCCTGCGAGATGTACCGAGCCGACCGCGAAATACGACACTGAACGTCCATCAGCCACTTGTTCTGTTAAGAGGGCTTAAAATGTAACTTAAGTATGCTTCGTGCACTGTAGCTCCTCTCGTTTATCGTTGTCTTTCTTTGTATTTCTCCCTTCATTATATTCTTCCGGGTCTCTACGTTGATGGCGTGCCTTCAGCCCGCATCGAAAGTGCATCATTATCGAGGATAATCTCGATCGATTCATTCCATCGTTGCTGCATTCAGACTGGTCACTCACCTCCGTCTGGTGCCGAAGTTAACGAACGCGCCGGACTGTACCTCCACGCCCTTCATACACTAATGGGTAATGGAGCTCCGTCAAATGAGCATTTTCGTGTTCCCTGTTTCAAAGCAAGAAAGAGAAATATATTAAGAGAAGTAAAACTGTAGAAAGAAGGCGGAAGGGAAAATGTCTTCAATTGGGAGAACAGCTGACGGTATCTCCCATCGCCACAACCCGCGCGGCAGAGTAAATAAACATGTCCCCCAAGCGTGTTAGCAAGCCTCGGTGGATCGCACTTCTTACCTCCCGCAGGCGCTTGGGGGGAGAGGAGGTATAGCTCCTCCCTTCCTTGACCTCTGCACTAGATGGGGGTCAGTGGTCAGCGTCACGCCCCGGCCGCGTTTTACCCCCAGGAAAGGACTCGAGTACTCACTGAATGGGCCTCAGAGCCGGCCTGGACTCAGAGGCTAGAGGAAAAATCCTCTGCCCCCGTCGGGGATCGAACCCCAGTCGTCCAGCCCATAGCCGGTCGCTATGGTGTTACTTAGGAAGCCAGAAGAGCGTTGTGGTCTGTGTGTCTTTACTGCACCAAATGCGGCTGTGTGCATGAAGTAATTAGATTACACCTTGCCTTTGTGTTGGGTGCTGAATTCTGTTTAAAGCAAATGAATTGTTCGATTTATCGATTTAAAAGCAGCCTGCCTTTGTTCTCTTATAGGGATAAACAGGTTAAAGGTGACCTGCGATAAAAATTCATGATCTGGAGAGGAAAACGTATTCGCAGATGCGCCCAGGAAAAATAAAGTTATCTTTATGGGGAGGCGCGTTCATGCCTCGTTCTAGGGTTCACCGTTTCGTGTGTGTTTTAAGTGGGTTCAGTGTCACGGAAATAATTTACAAGTCGTAGAGGTATTTTCGTTTTTCGATTTCTCCACGTTCTGTAATAGAAAGTCTACAAACTCCGGCCGACGAAAGTGTGCTGGTTCTGGACAGTTGGTTCCATAATGCTGTCCTAAAATATGTCTCAGCGAGGTGAAGAGGCTTTGGGGGGGGGGGGGGGGAAGCCAAATCAACAGGTCTACGGCGTCACTAACCAGTGTCTGGGTGACGCTGCGTCAATCAGACGCCATGACACGTCGAATGGGACGTGAATACGTGACATGGAGGCTCTGATTGATCCTTTTGTTATTTAATGGCTGTCCCGAAGTTGGAAAATGATTCATGAATGGCGACTGAGTTTGGGTGACCTGTTTCAAAACACTGTCCCGGAGAGTCTGAGTAAAATCACTAGTCTCTTAGGATAGCCGAGATCGGAACTGGCCGATGTCCATGGTTTTAAAGTCAGGAACTATTGGCCATCGGTTGTTTCGGCGGTCCACACTGACGAACCGAGGCGGCAGGCAAGTCGTGGAACAAGGAGGAAGACACGACTCGACGTCCTTGGTAAATGAAGTCGGAACAACTTGTGACAGGCAGAGATTACGTTGAGGAAACACAGCGCCGCTCTCTGCAGGCGTCAGAACGGAAGGACTCAAACAAAAGAGAAACAGGTGAAGGGAGGAATAGGTTGATAAGGGATTGAGCGGAAATAAGTGACAACTGGTCGTGTCTTTCTAGGGAAATTCAATCTAGAAATTACGCACTGCGACCGGCCCACCATAGGCGAGTCGCCTGTTGACTGCTTCGCGACTGTCGTGATTTGTAATATGATTTTTCTGCTTTTCTGTGGGTGATTCTGTTTGTTTTGTACTCTACTGAGTTATTTTCATATCTGCTAATGAAAACACGTACGCGTTCCGTTAGCGTCATCGCTATTATAAAGATACGAATACTCCTGATAACGTGAACGTTATCTTCTATCCGAAATCACGCCCTGGTTCTTACCCTTCGGCACTCACCGTCTGCTTCGTGTAGAGTTTCCGCTTTTGAAATCAGGAATGAAAATAGATTCAATAAATGATTCTTATCAGCTCAGTCGATAGAGCAGAGCGTAACTGGTTACAGGCCGGACTGCCGGAGTTCGATTCCCGTCTAGTGCCCTCTCAGTCTGACTTCCGGTTGGTGCTCCGAACTCTTTTCCCGGAAGAAAGAATTTGGGAGCCAGACAGTTTTCTCCGTCGCGCGTTAAGTAAATTACACTTAATTTCTCGGTCCTGCTGAGCGCCTGTTGAGAATTACCTCGCGTTGTTAAATTCAGTGCCGCATTACAGAATTTTACGAGCACATAGCTGAGCCCTTTGAATCTTAACTTGGACCAGCGTAAGAAATTACAATTCTCCACATCAGTTATGAAATTAAAACAACTTTAATTCGCTCTTCCTTGCACCCTCCGATTTTAAGTCCCACTTTCATGCAACTAATCAATTGAAATCGGTTTGTCCAGATCGTGTTCCTTTCATCTGAAGGGAAATTAATATCGTTGGTTGCTGCTGGCATCGTTGAAGGGATAGAATTATTGCGCTGTGCGTGTATTTCCTATCTTGTTTAATGTATCTGTGAGCAGTGGCGAGAAATTCTTGCACATATAAAATTAAATTCTGACATGAAACCTGAGACGAGCTGCGACCTTTAATTAATTGGCTGCGAATTCTGTTCATTGTCTCAGAATTTTGAGTCGCAGGGCAAGGACGGGACGGGCTCTGTGCCTCGACGCTCACGGTACCCGCGAGGCGATTAAAAATGCACGCCTCGGCCTTCAATTTCAATTAACAGATGACGACGACTGCTTATTTATTCTTCCTAATGGAACCGTAAGTAAATTCATTGGTCGCATTCGCTGAGGATTTTATTGTCTTCCGGCTGATGTTGATCGGCTAACAAATTTTAAAATAGCTGTAAGGAAATTAATATCTTAAGCGCGATGAGAACGCACAAGTGTAAATAAAAGTAAACTTAATTACCGTTCACCCGAAGACGCTGGGCGCCAGAACACGTCACCCGTGGCCCTCAGCTGTTTCGGCGGTGGTGGAGAGGCATTTTTCACGCGGTCCAGATATTATCGTTTCTGCCTGCGTTCGCCTGCACCTAAATATAGAGGCGGTCTCGTCTAATGAGCCGAATGACCCTGGGATCGAGTAACGCTAATCGATCGACCAGGTGAGTGAGTTTGGATCTCGGGTTCTTTAAGTGGAGGGAGGGGTCGATATTATGTGAGATCGATGCGTCCCTCGGACTGATATTTGGTTTTTCTGTTGTTGGTCATTTAAATGTGTCACATCATATGCAGAGGTTGTATGAAACAGTCAGTGTGAAATGGGAAAAAGAAAGATGTTTGTCTGCAAGATTTTCTTCAGGCGTACGCGTGTTGCTTTATTGTACGCCAGTGATGTCGATCGGACTTTGTTCACACAGCACATCCATGTCGACTTCAGGTAACAAATATAAGGAATGGAATTCTCCCCCTCCATTACTCCCTCTGAGGGGGGGCACCCCGATATTAAAATTGGGGGGTTCGGTCGAAATTACTGTGACAAAAATATCAGAATATCAGTATTTTTATTTTATTGTGTAGGACTCGTTCTTCAAGTGCCTGAGCACTTCAGCTCCCAACTTTTCGT